AGTGGTCTTCTCTTTTCGCCTAGACAGACGGTGTTGTTCTAACTGTTCGGAATAAGGCACCGCGCTCGTCGCGGATTTAAGTTGGAGGAGGGGTGGAAGTGGTACTGCAGTAGAAGTTCTCCTACCTTGAATTCATGAAAGAAGGTAAGACTCCTGCTCCCGACTCTGACTGCGAACCTCTTAAGCCTGCGAATATGCAGGTGCGAGGAGATTTTCGCTAATTATCTGGCTTCAACCAAAGATAAATTGAAGAGTATGCTTATTACAGTGGCGCTTCTATACCCTGTTTAACTAATGGAAAGGATCCTATCTATTGTTTCTGATAGCTCCTATACCTTGGCTAAAGAAGCAACGATAAATGTTTTTGTAGTCTGTCCAATAGTCAAAGCCACTGATCGGTTATCTTTCGGCAGTTCACATGTTGGTGAAGGATGTAGCCACACCTGTAAATCGGAAAAATCAATGAAATCCACCTAATTACTTCTTTTTCTACAGAGTTGTTAGAGAACGAGAATACCAGTTACCCATACCCTCCCCGTCTCCACTGCTCTTCCCCAATACTTTTCTAATGTTTTACCCGTGATGGTATATGTGTGGGTCACTAGTCTCAGGAAAGAGTAAAGGCGATTGCGTTGGTCAGTCACTTGGATGAAGTTTTCTATAGCACCCCTCCTTACTGTCTCTCAAGTTTACCTCTCAACTTCAAGCTGCGAATGTAGGATATTTACGCGGTTGTGCTTATGCAGTACGAACTGTTTCAAGTGGCACTGTTCGATTCATTTTCAAGTTATGTTGAGCATGTTCTTCAATCTATTAAGTTCACCTCAGAGATGCTGTGCAATCCGTCTCCGAAAACGACCAACTCGTCCTCTTTGCCTATTAAGGTTGGAAGGTCATGAAGTCTGGAAAAAAGTTTTCCATTTTTTTTTTCGAAACGTTTCAAAGTTCCCATTGAAGTATGGCATTCACCCTTGGCGTGCGCGAAAAGGGCCTAGGAGACACTTGAAGCAGTGATGACATGATGACTGGAGCAAGGACTTAAA